CTTTTGTAGACTGTAGCACATTCTCCAAAGACCGCTGAACTCATACAGTGATCTTTGCTACGTAATCATACGCAATTAAAACTGGGGCGTCTTGTTACAAACGCGTTGTTCACGGCCAGCAATATGGAAATACGTACCCACAAGGCCTCTCTGTGAACAAAATGTAGTTGGGATGTTCTGAGGGCACTCTTTCGACAAACTTGACACACGTGAAATTTTCCCAGTGACGCATGGCTTGTTTGAACAGCGCTTTGTGAGCGCCACTAAAGTTCCCGTCTATCTCGTAGGGTATCACCCCGTAGTCCCACACTCTCTCTTTGCGGGCAGTGGCGGCTCTAACTACACGTCGACGTTTTTGTGTCGCCGCAGGCTCTTCAGCTGGAGGTTTCGTCAGTTGTGCTGTACCAAGCGAATTTCCCGGTCTGTAAGAGATCTTATTGACGTCTGTAGACGTGGTTTGAACAGATTCACGTCCATTCTGTGCAGGTTTGTTGGCATCTTCCAGGATATGCGTACGTTTCTGTGTGCTGTTATGTAACAACTGCAGTCCTGCATCATCGTGAGGAAGTGTTCGATTTATTTGTCTTCCATTCTCATTAAATTTAGATTTGTCCCTTGAGCCTTCTGACTCATTACGAAGTTTGTGAGACCTAAAAGAAGAGATTCACATAATTACGACTTAATTCAAAGAACACTAATTGCATAGATCAGTGTTGAAAATACTGACATAAATTTAATAACAGGTGTTTAGACGATAATTTGAACTGCCTCTTATATAATGTTATTTCTTCTGAAAATTAATGCAAAAAGTTCGATTTTGTATTGGGAAATATTATAATTTCTTGTCTGTCTTAAACCCTCACTCTTTCTTTATGAAACAGGCCTGTAGCATGCATGAGACCTATACTGGTATTTTGGCCCCGTGCTTTGCTAAGGGACCTTCTCCTGGTGGACCTCAAAAGTTGACAAGAATAACTTGATAGTTAAAAGAAATTCATACTTAAGAGAATAATGTTAATGATCGAGACATCTAGATTTTGCCATTAAAGAAGATGTGGATTGTGGTTTCTGGGTTGTAGGCTAACGCCGTGAAATCTTGTAGACTTTACCAAAGTTTCAGAGAAAAGCATCGCCCCTTATACCTTGAAGACAGAGACGGTAGGTTGCTCAGAAACGTTAGTAACCACCTAGGATTGGCAGATATCACAATTCAGAAGACCACAATCCACAAAAGACGATTATGGAACTAGAGGAAGTCCTGAAGAACTTGTTTTAATTGTGCGTGTGTGTGCGTAGAGAGAGAGAGATACTAGTATGATTGCGAGATAAACCTTTGATGTTACATTTTCAAAATTAACCTGCATCTGCCGATCCAATACAAATGTCTGAATTTTGAACACATTAGAGGGGTTTAATTTTATTTAACCAGTTCATTTCTTGTTTCGACGGATTTATTTTTAGATGTAAAATTTACCAGATAAAGCAGACTTACCCCTGAAAGACAATTACTGGATGAAGGATTGTAAATAGCATTGCGTTGTGTGTAAAAGGATTTGCTTTGAATGTCATAGGTTAACATCCAACAGTAGCAAACAGCAACTTTATTAGGCGGCAATGCGATTGGGTATAACATCGGACAATCTGACGCTTTTATCATGTTGTCCCCCTTCCACTTGCAAAATTAGTTACGTTGAGCAATCGTTGTCCCTGAGGCCTGTATGGAATGCAACAGAAAGATTCGAACAAACGAGAATTATCGAACCGTTTATATTTCGGAGCGAGATATCGGCTTCCTGCCCACGGCCATCTACCGGCATATGTTTATGTAGTTCTGTTTTAACTCCTCCCTATCTGTAAAATGTACACACGATTCCGCTAGAGCGTGTGAAATACGTTCCTGTGTACAACCATGAAGTCGAAGGGCGTATAAATGGAGTTAAGGTAAAGCTCCTTTTATTTTAATTTTGGATACTAGGATGGAGTAAAGAGTTCAGCTTCACGCTCCGGCAGATTTATTTTGACACGGACTGGACAGGAGATTCAACAGGTCACAGAGCCGATCTGGACCTAATGGTATACTTGACGTCAACCAGAAATCGAACCTCGGAGCTAAAGTCAGTGGCCTGTCGCGTCATAGAATGGTCTGGGCAAGTGTTCAGTCACTTACCGTCTCCTTCCGGCTCGTCTTCGCCTGTCCTTCTTGCGCGACTCTCCGTCTGCTTGGGCGCCCCGCTTTGGGCTGGAGTCGTGTCTCCTCGGCGTATTGTTGTCCTCCTCCTCCTTGGACACTGCTTTGTTTTCGCCCTCGAGCGGTGGAACTGAGTCTGCTCTGTTGCTGACCTGTTGTTGCCGTCTCATCTCCCGCTGTCTTGCCACCTGCACCTCCAGCAAGCCTTCTTCCTCCACCTTAATTTGGGAAACAAATAAGAGCAGAATCCGTCTATGGCGAAAGTTCAGTTTCCTGGCGACTTTTAAAAAGTAAAATAACGACATTTGAATAAAAATTTTCTTGGATATTATCCATCGTCTAGTAAATATAATACGTAAAACGACGTTTCGGAGATGGGACTCTATCTCCGTCTTCAGGTTCCTACACAGTTGGGCCCACTAGATAGAGCTAATCCCTA